TCATGCAACTTTTCTGAGTCTTTGATTATCTTTATAAAGAGAAGATATACGCTAAGAACCTTTATAGCACTAACATTACAGAGAGAGAAGTTCAGAGAGTTAGAGAAGTTATGGGATGTCTCTCCATTCTAAATAACCTTACAGTATACTTTCCATAAACGCTGGGAATGACTAGATTGAATTCAAACCCAACTTCCACCCTGGACTGAATTGAATAGTGCCCACCCAAAATTCATGTCCACCCAGAACCTGTGAATGTGCCTTTATTTGGAAATAGGGTCTCTGTAGATGTAATCAAGTTAAGAGGAGGTCATATTGGATTAAGGTGGGCCTTATTCCAATGACTGTGTCCTTATAAGCGGCAAATTTGGACAGAGATAGACAGACAAGAAGAACACCATCTGATGATGGGGGCAGATTGGAATGATGCATCTACAAGCCCAGGATTACCAGCAACCCCCAGAGGCTAAGAAGAGGCAATGAAGGATCCTCCCCTGGAGCCTTCAGAGAAAGCATGGCCCTGCTGGTGGCTTGATTTCTAGCCTCTAGAAATGTGTGTGGTGATGGGTTGTAATTGGTATTTTGGTGGTGAACATGATGTGGTCCATGCAGAAATAGAAGTACAATGATGTACACCTGAAATTTTTACAATGTTATAAACCAATGTTACTGCAATAAACAAAAAATTAAAAAAAAAAAAAAAAAGAACTGTGAGAGAATAAATTTCTGTTGTTTTAAGCAACGCATTTTGGGGTACCTTGTTATGGTAGCCCTAGGAAACTAATCCACACCTTCTTTCCCCACATTGGGGCTGGAGATACACTGGACTCTCTCTACATTCTGATCATATAGGAATTCATAAAATATCCTTCTCAAAGGATATTTTCAAAGACAGACCAATATCTTGTTCTGAATATTATATATAGTACATATGAGGTGCCCCTTTAAACTTTAGTTTTGCGGAATTGTTTATCCATTTTTTTTTTCTCACAGCGCAGTGCTAGTCCACCAGGAAATCTATGGACTCTACCTTCAAACTGTATCGAAAATCTGAGCACTTCTCTCCATCTTCACTGCTAACACCATGGTCCAAGCCACTATCAACTCTCAAATGGGCGACTGCCATAGCCTCCTGTTTTCCCTTCCTCCAATTTTGCCCTTCTAGTCTACTTTTAAAAGAACAGAGTGATTCTTTTAAAATGTTTTGCCAGATCATGTCATTCCTTGCTAAAAATTTCCAGTGGCCTCTCAATGAACAAGTCAATTTCTTTATGATGGCCTAAAGATCCTTGGCCTCCCACTCTCTCTCTGGGCACATTTACTACTTTCCACCCTGCTCACTCTGTTCTACTCACACTGGCCTCCTTTCTGATCCTTTTTTTTTTTTAATTTTATTTATTTATTTATTTTTCCCCCCAAAGCCCCAGTAGATAGTTGTATGTCATAGCTGCACATCCTTCTAGTTGCTG